AGAAAAAGTCTCTCTAAAAGCGACACTTTTTCTATAGAAAAGTCTCTCTAAAAGCGACACTTTTTCTATAGAAATTTACTCCCTATAGTACAGCCGCTTTAAGTTCGTCAAGTGCTTCCCTAAATCCTCTATATTTTCAATACGAGTTTAAAACTCAATTCATTTCACTCAATTAACTACAAATAAAGCTTTAAGTTCTACTCACAACTTGTTAATTTTCTCGCTCTATATAAAATTACTGACGCTCTCTTAATAGCATTAACAAACACTCTCACTCTCTTTCTCTAAATTGTTTTTGTTTTAACTTAATTGCTCAAAGCCAAAATAAAAATGCAAGTAATTTCGCTTTCAATATTAAAAGCCAAGCTTAAACGATGAAACGTAACAAACAAATAAACAGCAACAACAACAACTACTGAAAATTATTGCAATTTTCTTTGTTGTTGTTTTTAAGTTTAACTTTGCTGTTGTTTTGTAGTTGTTATTGTTGCACGATTATTACAAGACAAAAAAAGCTTTTAGTTTCAGCTTGATAAACTATGAGATCAAAAGCAACAGCAACAGCAACAACAAAAAACTAAATTAAACCAATAATGGCGGCCTTACAAGATTTTTTTAAATAAAATTTTACATTTTACATTTTCTTGTATACCGTTTTTATTTAAGTTTTATGAATAAAAATAACAGCAACAACGATATCAACAAACACAACAACAACACCAAGAAAAAAGCTACATAAATGAACTTTAGCTTTAAAGGTAACAAGACAACAACATACAACTACACTTATACGTACCGTCGGACGTACCCGACCATGTATGCTTTGCACTGGGCTTTAAGGTAGTTAAGCGAGTACGATCAAGTTGTAGAGCAACTTCTTGTGTTGTAGAGTTTTAACAAAAAAAACACTGAATCTATACAAACTGACAGGCAGACAAGCAGGCTAGCTGGCTGGCAGTCAGATAGACGACATACGAGTTGGTTGAGCAGATTGAGTTGGAGCGTGAGTAGTTAAAGTTTAACGTAACCAACTGATTAACAGAACAGATCGGAAGAGGCAAACCACTAGAGGAGCTTTGTCTATAGAAGAAATGTCGCTCATTGAGAGACTCTTTCTATAGAAAAATGTCGTAGAATGAACTAGAATTGAACTAGAACTAAACTAGAAGTGCACTAGAACTGAACTAGAACTAAACTAGACTAACTAACTGAACTAGAACTGACTAGAACTGACTAGACTGAACTAGAACTGAACTAGAACTGAACTAGAACTGAACTAGAACTGAACTAGAACTGACTATCTAACGAAACTGAACTAGAACTGAACTAGAACTGAACTAGAACTGAACTAGAACTGAACTAGAACTGAACTAGAACTGAACTAGAACTGAACTAGAACTGAACTAGAACTGACTAGAACTGAATTAGAACTGAACTAGAACTAGAACTGAACTAGAACTGAACTAGCACTGAACTAGAACTGAACTAGAACTGAACTAGAACTGAACTAGAACTGAACTAGAACTGAACTAGAACTGAACTAGAACTGAACTAGAACTGAACTAGAACTGAACTAGAACTGAACTAGAAACTGAACTAGAAATGAACTAGACTGAACTAGAACTGAACTAGAACTGAACTAGAACTGAACTAGAACTGAACTAGAACTGAACTAGCAACTGACCTAGAACTGAACTAGAACTGAACTAGAACTGAACTGAACTAGAACTGAACTAGAACTGAACTAGAACTGAACTAGAACTGAACTAGAACTGAACTAGAACTGACTAGAACTGAACTAGAACTGAACTAGAACTGAACTAGAACTGAACTAGAACTGAACTAGAACTGAACTAGAAACTGAACTAGAACTGAACTAGAACTGAACTAGAACTGAACTAGAACTGAACTAGAACTGAACTAGAACTGAACTAGAACTGAACTAGAACTGAACTAGAACTGAACTAGAACTGAACTAGAACTGAACTAGAACTGAACTAGAACTGAACTAGAACTGAACTAGAACTGAACTAGAACTGAACTAGAACTGAACTAGAACTGAACTAGAACTGAACTAGAACTGAACTAGAACTGAACTAGAACTGAACTAGAACTGAACTAGAACTGAACTAGAACTGAACTAGAACTGAACTAGAACTGAACTAGAACTGAACTAGAACTGAAACAAGAACTGAACAAGAACCGAACTAGAACTGAACTAGAACTGAACTGGAAATGAACTAGATTTGGGAGAGAACTGAATTAAAGCTGAACTAGAACTAAACTAAAACTGAACTAGATTTGAGCTAAAAGTGAACTAGAACTGAACTACAACTACAACTGACCAAGAATTGAACTAGAAATGAACTAGATTTGGGATAGAACTGAATTAAAACTGAACTAGAACTAAACTAGAACTGAACTAGATTTGAGCTAGAACTGAACTGAACTAGAACTAAACTAGAACTGAACTAGATTTGAGCTAGAACTGAACTGAACTAGAACTGAACTAGAACTGAACCAGAACTGAACTAGAACTGAACTAGAACTGAACTAGAACTAAACTAGAACTGAACTAGAACTGAACTAGAACTGAACTAGAACTGAACTAGAACTGAACTAGAACTGAACTAGAATTGAACTAGAACTGAACTAGAACTGAACTAGAACTGAACTAGAACTGAACTAGAACTGAACTAGAACTGAACTAGAACTGAACTAGAACTGAACTAGAACTGAACTAGAACTGAACTAGAACTGAACTAGAACTGAACTAGAACTGAACTAGACCTGAACTAGAACTGAACTAAAACTGAAATAGAACTGAACTAGAACTGAACTAAAACAGAATTAGAACTGAACTAGAACTGAACTAGAACTGAACTAGAACTGAACTAGAACTGAACTAGAACTGAACTAGAACTGAACTAGAACTGAACTAGAACTGAACTAGAACTGAACTAGAACTGAACTAGAACTGAACTAGAACTGAACTAGAACTGAACTAGAACTGAACTAGAACTGAACCAGAACTGAACTGAACGAGAACTGAACTAGAACTGAACTAGAACTGAACTAGAACTGAACTGAACTAGAACTGAACTAGAACTGAACTAGAACTGAACTAGAACTGAACTAGAACTGAACTAGAACTGAACTAGAACTGAACTAGAACTGAACTAGAACTGAACTAGAACTGAACTAGAACTGAACTAGAACTGAACTAGAACTGAACTAGAACTGAACTAGAACTGAACTAGAACTGAACTAAAACTGAACTAGCTTTTTAAAGCTTTGTTAAAATTTGTTGATAATGTAAAGAAGAGCTTTTGATAATTAACTGAACTAGAACTGAACTAGAACTGAACTAGAACTGAACTAGAACTGAACTAGAACTGAACTAGAACTGAACTAGAACTGAACTAGAACTGAACTAGAACTGAACTAGAACTGAACTAGAACTGAACTAGAACTGAACTACTAAACTGAACTAGAAACTGAACTAGAACTGAACTAGAACTGAACTAGAACTGAACTAGAACTGAACTAGAACTGAACTAGAACTGAACTAGAACTGAACTAGAACTGAACTAGAACTGAACTAGAACTGAACTAGAACTGAACTAGAACTGAACTAGAACTGAACTAGAACTGAACTAGAACTGAACTAGAACTGAACTAGAACTGAACTAGAACTGAACTAGAACTGAACTAGAACTGAACTAGAACTGAACTAGAACTGAACTAGAACTGAACTAGAACTGAACTAGAACTGAACTAGAACTGAACTAGAACTGAACTAGAACTGAACTAGAACTGAACTAGAACTGAACTAGAACTGAACTAGAACTGAACTAGAACTGAACTGAACTAGAACTGAACTAGAACTGAACTAGAACTGAACTAGAACTGAACTAGAACTGAACTAGAACTGAACTAGAACTGAACTAGAACTGAACTAGAACTGAACTAGAACTGAACTAGAACTGAACTAGAACTGAACTAGAACTGAACTAGAACTGAACTAGAACTGAACTAGACTGAACTAGAACTGAACTGAACTGAAGAACTAAATGAGAACTGAACTAGAACTGAACTAGAACTGAACTAGAACTGAACAAGAACTGAACTTGAACTGAACTTGAACTGAACTAGAACTGAACTAGAACTGAACTAGAAATGAACTAGATTTGGGATAGAACTGAATTAAAACTAAACTAGAACTGAACTAGATTTGAGCTAGAACTGAACTGAACTAGAACTGAACTAGAACTGAACTAGAACTGAACTAGAACTGAACTAGAACTGAACTAGAACTGAACTAGAACTGAACTAGAACTGAACTAGAACTGAACTAGAACTGAACTAGAACTGAACTAGAACTGAACTAGAACTGAACTAGAACTGAACTAGAACTGAACTAGAACTGAACTAAAACTGAACTAGAATTGAACTGGAATTGAACTAGAACTGAACTAGAACTGAACTAGAACTGAACTAAAACTGAACTAGAATTGAACTGGAATTGAACTAGAACTGAACTAGAACTGAACTAGAACTGAACTAGTAATAGAGATTTCAATTAAGCTTTGTGAAACTTTGTTGATAGTGTAAAGAAGAGCTTTTGATAATTAACAACTTCCATAAACTTTTTCTTTAAAAAAACAAAGCTGGCCGGATTTTTAAACTCTAGTTTGAATTATAGTTTTTTTCGAATTTCAAAAGCTTTTGCTATTTGTTTAATAGTTGGTCACGTTAGTGTGCTATAATACTATGGTAAATTGTTGTTATTATTATTGTGGTGTTGAGGTTTTGTTGTTATTAATGCTGTTGTTGTATTTTATAATATTTTACTTCTTTTTAACGTTTTTTTGATACGAATACAGAGATTTTTGCTGCCGTCAAAATGTTTGTAGACAGAAGTAGTGGTAGCGTTAATAGTGGTGGTGCTGGTGGTGGTAAGTAGTTAGTTGTTGAGGTTGTTGCTTGAAACGAAACCAACAGTAACTTTAGTGTGAGCCGATAACTTTAGGCAGACGGCCACAAAAATCGAAATTTTTTTTGTGGGGCTTTAAGGGTCGTTTTTGAAAAGAAAAAAAATTGAAGAAATAAACAAAGAAATTAGAAGAATTGAATAAAACGTTAGAAAACAACTGTGATTTTTTTGTGAAAACGGTTGGAAAAAATGTTATAAAGAAGAAAAGTTTCGAAAAGAAATGAAAATTGTTTTAAGCAAATGGTAGTTTTTTAAGAAAATCTTAAAAAAAAACTTATGAAAGATTTAAGCTTAAATAACTGTTTAATACGTAATCTGAGTGTTTAGTGCAAATTTAAGAAAAAAACAACTCAATTAATTAAAGTGAATCACCTTTAAAAAGAAAAAAAATTAACAAAAATTATGAAAAATATTGAAACAAAACAAAAATAATGTAAAATTGCAGCTGAGGCTGCTAAATGTTTAAGAAAATAAAAAGAGAAAAAATTTTATAAAAATTTCATTGTGTTTTCTGTTGAAAATATTTTTTTTTTTTGTTAACATTTCAGCTCAATTTCGCTGAGTTTGTGGATTTAATTTAAATAAAATGTTTTTGATGATCTTGTAAAAAATTTATAAAAAAAAATTCTTTACATTTTTAATAAGCTGGAAGTGTTTAAAAACGCTTTTAAATAATTGCATTCTGTTAAAAACGCGTTTAATCGTAAGAGTGTTCTTAACTTGGCCAGAAGTTAAATGCGCTCCCTAAAACGGTTTAAACAAAATTAACTATTTTTTTGGGGGAAATTTAATCGGAAAAAAATATTGAAAATTTAAAATTTTAAAATATTTAAAATTTAAATTAAAAATAAAAAAATTATTAACAAATTTTGTAAGAAATAATAATTGTGTTCAAATAATAAAAATATTTAATTTTAAAAAAATTTTCCAAAAAAAAGTGTTGCGTGTTTGAGAAAAAAAACCTCTAAAAATTCCCCACAACTTTTTAAAAACCTTAAATGTTTTATTTTTTTTCTGTTAAAATTGTTGTAATAATTTAATTTAATATTATTGTTGTTGCTGCTGAAAGACCACACCAACTAAGGTTTTAACTCCCTACTCTTCAACTTACCCGTTCAACTTCATCATCATCACCATCAGCAGCGTCTTTCAACATCATTAACACCAACCAACTGCTGAAAATAAAAAGAAAAAGTAAATATATATTTTTTTTAATTTGTTTTTAATTTATTCAAAATTTATAAAAAATATTAAGTATTAAGCAATATGTTTTTGTTTAAAAATAACAACAAAATAAAGTTAATTAATAATTTTTTTAATGATATTACAAAATTATTAACAATAAATTATAAACAAAAATTTAAAATTTTAGAAAATCTTAAAAAAATATAAAATTTAAAAAAGTGTCGCTTTTGGAGACACTTTTTCTATAGAAAAGGAGACACGTTTTCTATGAAAAGGAAGAAGCTTTTAAAAACACAATTTCTATAGGAAAAGTGATAATTTTAGAGACTAATTTTAATAAAAAAAAGTATAGCTTCTAGCGTCACCTTTTGTATAGAAAAGTGACGCTTTTAGAGACACTTTTTCTATACAAAAAGTGATGCTTTAGAGATACTTTTTCTATAGAAAAAGTGTCGCTTTTAGATACACTTTTTCTATACAAAAAGTTACGCTTCTAGGGACACTTTTTCTATAGAAAAAGTTACGCTTTTAGGGACATTTTTTCTATAGAAAAAGTGACGCATTTAAAGACACTTTTTCGACACTTCTAAAGACTCTATTTCTATAGAAAAAGTGACGCTTTTAAATACCCTTTTTTTATAAAAAAAGCCGCGCTTTTTTTCTATAAAAAAGTGACATCTTTAGAGACACTTTAGCTTTTAGACACACATTTTCTACAGAAAATCTATCGCTTTTAGACACACATTTTCTATAGAAAATCTGTCGCTTTTAGACACACATTTTCTATAGAAAATCTGTCGCTTTTAGACACACATTTTCTATAGAAAATCTGTCGCTTTTAGACACACATTTTCTATAGAAAATCTGTCGCTTTTAGACACATATTTTCTATAGAAAATCTGTCGCTTTTAGACACATATTTTCTATAGAAAATCTGTCGCTTTAAGACACATATTTTCTATAGAAAATCTGTCGCTTTTAGACACACATTTTCTATAGAAAAAGTAGCACAGAAGAAGTGAAAATGTGTCTCTTTTAAAGACACGTTTTCTTTTAAAAATTATTTAGCTGAATAAAGATTTGTTTAAAAATTTTATGAATTTACCTAAAAATATGACCTTTAATTTGAAAAAAACAGTTAGCTGAATTGATTTTTCTAACAGCTGAATAGCAATATCTAATAGAATTTCAGTATTTCTTAGCAAAAATTGCAAAATCATTAATGAAACTTTAGTTGAATATAATTTTTCTTAGCTGAATAAAGTAAATTTTGTTAATTATATATAAAATATATCTCTAAATGACAAAAAATGACAGCTGAATTGTTTATTTTATGAGCTGAATAACAATATATTATAGAAATTTTATATGTCTTGAAGAAAAATTATAAAATCATTAAGAAAATTTTAGCTGAATAGAAATTTTTTCTAGCTGAATAGAGATTTTCTGTAAAATTTATTAATTAGCCACAAAATATGGCCTTAAATGTTAAATTAGCTGAATGGATAGTTTAGCAGCTGAATAGCAATATCTAATGGAATTCTTCTATTTCTTAAAGAAAAATTTTAAAATTATTTGTAAAATATTAGCTGAATAGAATTTTTTCTAGCTGAATATTAATTTATTGTTAATTAACCTACATTTATGGCCTTAAATGTTAAAAGATGTTAGCTGAATTGATTTTTCTAACAGCTGAATAGCAATATTTAATAGATTTCTTTTATATCTTAAAGAAAAATTTAAAAATTGTAAATAAAATTTTTGCTGAATAGAATTTTTCTTAATCATTTCTGAATAATGATTAAATGAAAAATTGTGTTCATTAGCATCAAAATATGTTTTCAAATGACAAATTATTTTAGGTGAATAGATTTTTCTAACAGCTGAATAGCAATATCTAATAGAATTCTTGTATTTCTTAAAGAAAAATTTTAAAATTGTAAATAAAATTTTTGCTGAATAGAATTTTTCTTAGCTGAATAATGATTAAATGGAAAATTGTGTTCATTAGCATCAAAATATGTTTTCAAATGACAAACAATTTTAGCTGAATTGAGTTTTCTAACAGCTGAATAGCAATATCTAATATAAATCTTATGGTTGCAATAGAAATATTGAAAATTCATTAAACTTTTTTGCTGAATAAGCATTTTTTGGTAAATTTTATAAAAATTTTTACATTTTTATTTACTACTGGTAAAGAAGAAATGTTTTAGGACCTCCCTATATGGAATTGTAAATGGAAAATCTCCTTGAATAGTTCTTTTCTTTGGCAATAAATTTGTTTACTTTAGTAAAGGTTTTTAAATCTTTAGGTTTATTTAACTTTAAAACATCAAATAAAGTTTAAAATTAAAAAAAAAAATTAATTTAACTTTTCATTAAAGAGAAACTTTAACAAACAAATTTGTTATTTAACAAATACTGGATATAAAATTTTGTTAAATAAAACAAATATTTGTTGCTTTAAACTTGGCAAGTTTTTTGCTGTTTATTTTCTTTAAATGAATTTCCTTTTTATAATATTTTCCCTCAATAGTTACTGGTTTTTCTTAATCAATGATGTCTACAGTTGACAGCAGGGGGACAGACTTAACATCAGTCTGCCTGTCTGTCCGTCTAACTTTTTTTCTATAGGTCTAAATGTATGAGTAAAGATTTTGTAATATGACTTAACATGTTGCATTTTTCTGCTTATGTTGTTTTTTTCTTTACTTAACATTTTGTGGTACTTTTGTTGTAATTTTTCTTGCAAAAAAGCTTTTTTCCTCAACTTTGTTTTTTTATTTAATTAAATTAATTTTCTTTAACTCTATGCAGTAGTTTCTTCAATCTTCTTTGATTTGTTTTATAAAAAAAAGCTTTTTTCTCTCTAAAAGCTTTTTTCTCCTGTTGAACAAACAGCTGTTGCCATGAAAGAGTGTTAGAGAGAGGGATTATTTAATAAAATGTTAGAAAAAATAGTTTTTTTTTTTGATTAAACAGGATATATGTTTTACATTTTATTGGGTAAGTTTTAGATCATGGGAAAATTTTAGCTTAAAGAGGTCAAATAGATAGACTTCCTTCAATAAGCTTAAAAAAAGCTTTAAAACTAAAACTTCTTTCTAATTAAAATTTCTGAAAAATTTGTTTAATTCAAACATATTAAAGCCAAATTTTATGTTTTAAACTAAAATTCAAGCATTTTAAGCCATGTTCGAAAATTCGAAATTAAGTTCGAAAAATCGAAGATTCCAAAAATTGCTTCAAATTGTTAAATTTTAATGCTAAAAACATATTTAAGCAAAATATTCTATTATAAATGCAAATTTGGAGCATTTAAGCCAAGTTCGAAAATTCGAAATTAAGTTCGAAATTTCGAACATTCTAAAAATGGGCTTAAAATGTTAAATTTTAACGCTAAAAATACATTAAGAAAAGTTTTTCGTTATAAATGGAAATTTGGCGCATTTTGGTCAAAGTTCAAAAATTCGAAATTAAGTTCGAATTAAATTTTAAATTGGTATTAAATTTTAAAATTAGACTATTTTAAGCCATGTTCGAAAATTCGAAATTAAGTTCGAAATTTCAAACATTCCAAATATTAGCTGAAATTTTTAAATTTTAATGCTAAAAACATATTTAAGCAAAATTGTTCATTATAAACTAATATTTGACGTATTTTTCGAAAATTCGATATTAAATTCGAAATTTCGAACATTCCAAAAACCGGCTAAAATTGTTAAATTTTAATGCTAATAACATATTTAAGGCAAATTTTGTATATTAAATGAAAATTGGTTCATTTTAAGCCATTCGAACTTAATTTCGAATTTTCGAACATTCCAAAAACCAACTCAAATTGTTAAATTTTAATGTTAAAAACATATTTAAGCTAAATTTTGTATATTAAATTAATGTTGGCTCATTGTAGGCCATTTTCGAAAATTCGAACTTAATTTCGAAATTCTCAAAACTATCATAAACTGTAAAATTTTAAAGATTTAAACATTTAAAAGCTAATTTTTATACTTTAAAACAAATTTTTTATAGATTTTACTATAGGGCATTGCAAAAATGCTAGACCTCTGTTGTATGTATTTCCATGTTTTCCAATTTGCGTGCAAATACTAATAAAAATGTTTAAATCAAAATGCATGTGAAACTGAGTGAATGAGGAGTGAGTAAGTTTATTGTGTTCAAATAGAGGAAACTGAAAATAGTTTATATTTTAAATAAAAACAACAATTTTATTTGTTTTTTTTTTTCTTTGTATTGAAAATAGCGGCAGCAGCAGAGTCAGTAGTTTAAACTACTGACAATTGTTACTGGTTTCACACTCATACTTACTCATACACAATTATTATAACATACAGCTCAATGTGTGTGTGTGTGTGAACAAAGTTTTTCAAATTGCAAAAAAAAAAATCACAACAAATTATTAAATGAAAACGAAAGTGAAAATTTCCATAAAGTGTGAATGTGAAGTCACACTATTTGGTGTCTCTTCCATGTTAATACTTTAACACTTTAGAGATAGATAGATAGACACGAAATTGAATTTTACAACTGTTTGAATTTAAACAAAATTTTGAAATTAATTTCGAATTTTCGAACATTGATTAAAATTATCTAAAATAGTTTTAAAGCATTAAATTAAGTTTTAATATATTTTAATATTTAAAACTTAACAATTTGAGTCATTTTTTGGAATTTCGAAATTAAGTTCGAATTTTCGAACATGGCTTTAAATGAGCTAATTCTCATTTATAATACAAAATTGTGTTTAAATATGTTTTTAACACAAAAATTTAACAATGTGAGCCAATTTTTAGAATGTTTGAAATTTTCGAACTTAATTTCGAATTTTCGAACATGTCTTAAAATGTGCCAATTTCAAGTTATAATACAAAATTTAGCATAAATAAGTTTTTAATTTAAAAATATAACAATTTGAGCCGATTTTTAGAATGTTCGAAATTTTCGAACTTAATTTCGAATTTTCGAACATTGCTGAAAATGGCCAA